TGCGCCAACTTCTCCGTGGTCGTCCTCTCTTTCTTCTTTCAGGAGGGATCCATTCCAGTACTCTTTTAGGCCATCTGTACTCTGGCATTCTTTTAACATGTCCGAACCAAATTAATTGTTTTCTTTCTATGTCATCATTGATATTTCGCTCCATTTTCATTTCGTTTCTTATTTGTTCGTTCCTAACTCTTTCTAGTTTCGATCTACCGCAGCTTCGTCTCAGATAATCCATTTCTGTCGTCATCAGTTTGTTTTTATTAGCTTTGGTGACGTCCCATACTTCCGAACCGTAAACTGTAATACTTTGGACCGTAAATGTGTTTTTTGGTTTCTCGTCGAATTGTTTTTTGCCAGAGAAGAGAGTTTAAGGCACGGGTCGCTGCTCGACCCTTGTTTATTCTTTCCCTGATTTCATCTGCGCTATTTCCCTTCTTATTGAAAATGACCCCCAAATATTTGCAGGATTGTACGCCTTTGATTTTTTCGTCTTCCAAGACTAGGTCACATATTTCATCTGTTCCCACTGATAGATATTCACATTTTGTCATATTCATGTTTAGACCTGCCACCTCATATTCTTCTTGGAGTTTTCTTGCCATATAGCTAAGATCGTAGCTATCTTCGTCAATTACTACCTGGTCACCCGCAAAGAAAAGTGTTTTTAGCGTGTTTTCTTCCACCGTTATCCCCATGTTTCTACATTTTTTTACCCATTTCACTAAGGATCTGTCCAAATAGATTTTAAATAAGGTGGGTGACAGACAGCAGCCTTGTCTTAGTCCCTTTGTTGCTTGAAAAGGAGAGGTGATTTCTTGTCCCATTTTAATTCTTGCAAAGTTTTGTTCATAGTATTTTTGAGTGGCTTTAATAAGAATTGGGTTTATTTTCAAGTTATTCATTTCTATCCACAGTTGAGTGATCGGTACACTATCATATGCTTTTTCCAGGTCTATTAAAGCTATATGGGTTTCTCTATTTCTCTGCACTCGTTTTTCCATTGCAATTTTTAATGTGAAAATATTATCCATAGTGGAGCGTCCGCTTGTTCTTCGGGTTGTTTATCTTTAATATCATTTTCTATCAGGTTTCTCAGTACTTTTGAATATAATCGGCCTAAAATAGCAATCACTGCGATCCCTCTATAGTTTTTAGGATACGTTTTTGTGCCTTTCTTATGTATTGGAGAGATATACGATTGTCTCCATTCTTCTGGGAATTCTTCTCCGTTTAAGCATCTTTCGAATAATTTTCGGATCATTTCAAGCAGTTTTGATGATCCATATCTAATCAACTCTGGATGTATTCCGCCTGGGCCTGGAGATTTTCTTAATTTTATTTCCTAAACTGCTTCTTTCACTTGTTCTATTGATTGTTCTATTCTTCCTTCTACTTGCACTTGTCTACTTGTACATTTGTCTGTTTAAAACTTTCTCTTCTCTCTATTAATAAGTTCTCAAAATGCTCTATCCATGTGTTCTCTGGTATTCTATTTATTATGACTTGGTTTTTTGTCGTTGTTCTCATTGTTTTTATAGTTCTCCAGGCTTCAGAGCTCTTTGTCCCTCCTATATGGTTGTCTAGGTATTGGCATTTTTGTTCCCATGCACTATTTTTCTTTTTAATGACTTCTCGTTTGACTTCTTTATTCAAGTTTTTATATTGTTGTTTTGTTTGTTCGTCTCCCTGTTGTAATAACTTTTGATATACTTCCTTCTTTCTTTTTATATTTTCTTCCACTTCTTTATCCCACCAATATGGTTTATCCACTCTCCGTACCTGTGGTCCTAAGGCTTCTAGCGCTGCGTCTTTCATGCAGTTTTTTATATGTCCATATTCATCCGTCGTTGATCTGTGTGATTCCTGTAGTTTTTGTGTTAGTCTCCAGGAGTAAAGTAATTGTATGCTCTCGTTATCTAGATTGTCTAAGGTGTACGACGTTCTTTCTATTTTTTCTCTGTGTTCTTTGTTAATGTCTGTGTGATTCCTGTCTGCGAATGGTGTATATATTTTTCCTATTTTCAGGCAGTGGTCCGAACCGCACTCTGCTCCTCTATTTACCTTTACGTCCTGTACTCTTAGCTTAGTTTGTTGCCTTGTTATGAAATAATCTATTATCGATTTTAGACCTCTTGTGTGCTGATACCAGGTGTATTTATGTATGTTCTTGTGGGCAAAAGAGCCATACAAAATCTTTAACTCATATTGTTGGCATATATTTATGAGTCTTTCTCCGTTATTGTTAAGAGTTTCTTCTCCATGCATTCCTACCACTTGCCTCTCCTACCTACCATGCCTCTCCAGTCGTTATTACTTATTATAAAAAATGATAGTATAGTAGGCGGTACTAGTGTTGCCCAAATGCAAGACTTAGACAATCTTGGTCATGGTCTTGCTCTCCCAGTCTTAGTCTTGGTCTCGGTCTTCCAGCAAGAGTCTTGCAAGTTTCGCAGTTACTCATTAGCCCATTGCTATTTATTAAACATTACTTTAGACCTTAGAACAACGTAGTAGACACTTATTAAGCATTAATTAACCTATACATAAAAAAGACCAACAAAATTATTGAATGTCTAAATAACTGACACTGGGTGGGGTTTGAACTTACGATCTAAGCGATCCGTGCCTATGCTCTAACTAACTGAGCTATCTAGCATGCTTCATAGAAGTCAATCAGTTTCTTAATAAACGTTTGCATTTAACAAGCTTACATGTGCTAAAACATGGTTAAAATGCAAAAAACATAATAAATGATATAAACTTGACTGTATTTTAAAAAACATTATCTGTCTAGAAAGGGATTGATGGACCCTTTCCTTTTATAAAATGGAATAAGAGTTATACAATTTGACATTTATTTAAATAAAAAAGTAAAATACAACTCAAATTAAATTACATTACAGTGCACAGTAGCCTTGAGCTTTACTGTTACTATATATTAATTCCTTTGATTAAGAAATAATACAAACTAACCATCTGGCTGACTCATCACTTAACCTATTTCTATGTTTTCTAATTACTAATGATTCTTTAGAAAATAATTTCACAGCAGGTACTCAAGTTGCAGGTATTGAAAGAAAATCACGGGCCATCTTCGATAAAGTCGGATATTCTGTCTTATGCGTTCTCCGCACATCTAAAATTTCTCTCGACCTGGCGGCTCTGGGTTTACTTAGGTACTCCCCCAACTAAGCCTTGATGACAAGATCCAGATGAAGTCGAGGAGCATGCAAACAGTTTCTCAAAGTCTATTAGTCTTCATCTTCATCATACTCACATACTTTCTTTTCATTTTTTGGTGATTCTAGAGATTTATTCACTGAGTTAAAGTTTTATATTCTTTATAAAGTTCAATAAATTTTTCTAAGCTTTCTGTTTTAATTAGCTTTCCCCATAATGTCATGTCAAAAGTCTGAGCATTATGCCTTAGGCCTAAAATTAAAGAGATACAATAGTTGCTCTTCTTATAATGTCTAAGCATTTTATCTCGAGCTGCTTGAAAACCAAGAATGAGCCTTTTATTCATTTCAGATCGATTGGGTTTCTCATCTAATTGTTTTACAATGGATTCAATGTTATCGAGCAGAAGATTGAATGATACAATCACTAGTGGTAATGTAACATATTTTTCTCCACCAAGTTTCGTTGACAAAACATAAAAGTTTATTAGAAATTTATGTATTTTTTCGATATTTTCCATTCGCTATCTGTAATTTAAAAATAATTTAATTTCAATATTGGTGACAGATGTGCACAATATTATGTTAATGCCAGTTCTGACTTTTAAACTAATTCCAATTATATTATGTGTGGAATTCCATCTCGTTGGGCAGTCGAGTATGAGATTCAGATTTGTTGGCACGTCAGCTGCTTCACAAGTAGACTTCCTCTTCAATATTTCACTTCTTTTTATTTTACTAAAAATACTGTTATAGCTGTACGTGAGTCAGCCATATTTGGGGCATATTCTTTATCTTTCTTCCGAGGCTTCATACTGCTTTTCTTGTTATTATCAGTTTCACTGTGTAATGCTAAGGTCTTTAATAGATCGTGTACACCAAAGTTTAAAATTTGAGAAAAGCACTGGAAGTGTTGATCATCTAAATCAAAGTGTGGCAGCTGTTTGCTCAGTTTATACATACATTTAGTATTTGCAGTTGCGTTGTTGACCGTGATACCCCGTCTTTTATCAATTCAAAACCAATATCCAAAAAGGATTATTTATTGAAATAAAAAGTACTATATCTCCTTAGTTGGACCAAAAAATACACAGTTACAAAATTTTATTGGAATCGGTTTATTAGTTTCGAATATTAGCGTGGACAAACACCGTGACACGAGATTTTTATATATTCGCTTCGTACGTGACTGACGCGACACCTACCGCCTTCATCTGATAGTTTTGGACCTTCCAATTTGAGGTTAAATATACATACGAAATTGACAAGTATTAATAATTAGATTTGAAATTATATTTTTTTCAGTTTATGTTCAAAATAAATGTAGTATTAAAATCTGGGTTTCTAAAAATTCATCATAAAGTTGTCATCAGGCAGGCTACAATTAGCTTGAAGCGTTGAAGAAGCCTTATGATTATCATTTAAAGGTAAATTATTTAAATTTTTTCTATTTTAATTGCATTAAAATAAAATTTTGTGATATTGACTTTATCATCTAAATAGCACGAATCCATCTTTTTTTATCCCTTATTTATAGGTAATATTTGAAAACCTATAAAAACTACACTCATAATTTTTACTACTATTAGCACAATTAAATATGAAACATGTATTTGCACCTATTTTTGATCAAATTTATGCGTAAAAAGATAGGTCCAATTTTGTCATATTCGCCGCTACGCACGCTGGTATCGTTTCAAGCTACCCTACCATGGTTACGCACGGAACGAATAAAAACTAGAATTGCGGGATTATAGAAAAATAAAATCGCAAAAGAATGTTTTTAAATATTTTTATTAACACTAACTAAAAAATTTCGTAAACTCACATATATGTATATCCCTCACTTATAATCTCCAAATGTTGTTTAAAATTAATAGACCTAAGGGGGTTATCTGGCAGCCTGAATTCCATATTTGCAATTCTCATTGTCCATGTTACTACGAAGAAGGTGACGGCATTTACTGGGAAGGCCCGAATTAACGTTGGTGTCATTCCCCGATAGAGACTACGATATCCTTCTGTGTTGACGGTTTTCTTGAAGCAATCATACAATCCAGAATATTGTTTTGAGGTCATCCCGTCAACTTGAATTTTCGACTTAAGGACGTCTAATGGGTATGGTATTATCCAAGAAATTACACCTGCAATTAACATTACATAAAACATTTAGTTCAAACAAAGAAATTTCTAATATGTTAGAACTATTTGTTTTAATTCAACCCATCTTCCCTATAAAAAAAAAACAGGAAGGTAAAAGTAATATGTTTTGTTCTTTTTTTAAGTTCTGAGCCAAACTTTTTTGATATATTTTTACAACTTCTAACGATTTTTAATTACTTTTACATAATAGAGATAAACTGATTACCTTTTAAAAGTTTTCTTGTTTATAAAGAATAGATAATTTTGAGTAAATATTTGCCCTTGCATGTATAGCTATTTTATAGACCTGACAAAGGCATTCGATCGCATACAAGTCGAAGATGTCTTGCACCTACTGTATAAAAGAAACATACCAATTAATATTATACAAACCATCGGAAACATCTACCTCCATAATCGAACACAGTGTATACTGGATACTACAAGCGGAGTCAGGGAGAGTGACTCGTTAAGCCCTTCTTCTTCTTAAAGTGCCCTCTCCTCAATGGAGGTTGGCTACTACAATTTTAAACTCTTCTCTATCTTCAGATGTTCTTATTAGCTGTTCAAAATTTAGCCCTGTCCATTGTCGGATGTTTCTGAACCATGATAGTCTTTTCCTTCCTAGGCCTCTCTTTCCCTCGATTTTTCCTTTCACTATAAGTTGGGCATATTGGTACTTATTATTTCTCAGTATGTGGCCTAGGTATGATGTTTTTCTTACTTTAACTGTGTTAAAAAGTTCTCTTTCCTTGCCTATTCTATGCAGCACTTCTTCGTTTGAGGTATGTCTTCGTTAAGCCCACTTTTCTTTAATATAATAATGGACGAAATAATACAAGCAGTACGCAAAGGTCATGGCTACAGAATGGGAAACAAAGAAATCGAAATATTATGTTGTGTAGACGACGCCGCTGAGACAGAACACAGTCTCCAAAGATTAACACACATCTTCAATATAACGACCAAGAAATACAATATGATAATATCAGCAGAAAAAACCAAATGTATGACTACATTTAAATACCCACTATGATATAAAATCGAATTTGATGGGAAAATGATAAAGCAGGAAGCAAGGTTTAGATATCTGGGGATAGATATAACTTGTACGAAGATGTTGAAGAAGAAGTACGACAACAAAGCTCAACAGCAATATTTATGATATTATTTATAATCAGGGATTCTGATCATCATTAATATAGTTTATCGGATAGCTATATTAAGTATCTGGATTTCGGCAACGTGGCGCGGAGTTGAAGATTTTTGTTTTATTTTCTGTCTGCGATAAACCCGAAATTCGAGAGTTGCAACGGGAAATAATTCAATACGTTGTAGTGAGAATTGAGATAACTGAATAAGGTAACAACTGTGCAAAAATAAACACCGAAAACTGCAAAAAAACAATAACAAAGTGAATAATCGGATAAGGGAAAAAAGCGAGGTTAACTGATAAGAACTAACACTGGGAAGGAAGCTACGTTTAATTGAATTGCGACGTTGCCAATGTGTGCAAAGTTTCGTGTTTGCCACGGAATACAAAATTAGTCGAGACTTCGAATAGGGGATTCAACAGGAAGTGGTAGATACTGTTTCTTCCGAGCTGTTGAAGCGAGAGATAGTGTCTGGCGCCAATCAGAGTTGAAAGTAATCCGCGAAGTGAAAAAAAAAAAAAGGAAAAGCATACAAGGATGGAAAAATATCTACAAGGTAAAACGTATATGGACAGTGACGATACAACAACAGATGAAGGAGCAAAAAGAAAGAATAGAGGAGAGGATGATGAGCAAGAGGAAGAGAGATCCAGAAAAAATAAAAAACTAACAAGAACCCCTCAGAAGACAGGAGGAAAAGAGGATGGAGCAAAACTTGATAAATTGCTAGAAATGATGAGCAACCTAACCAGCGACATTAGACAAATAAAAGAAGACCAAAAGGAATACAAGGAGGTAGTTGAACATCTAATAAGGGAAAACAAGGAACTAAAGAATGATAATAAAATTCTAAAAGAGGAAAACATACAGATTAAGAAAGAATTAAGGGAAATACGAGACAACATAGAAATTATAGAAAAACAGAGAAGGCGAAATAATGTGGTAATGAACGGGCTAGCAATTGATACGCAGGATCAGCTGGTATTGAAGAAAGCAATTGGCAATTTTATAAAAGATTACCTTGCAGTAGAGGCCAAAATAAAGACGGCCCACAAACTAGGTCCAAAAACGTGCCTAATTGAAATGGAGAACCAACAAGAAAAGATAAAAGTTATGAAGAATAAAGCAAAGTTAAAGGACGTCAAAAAGGAAAAGGTATACATCAACGATGACACAACGGTGAGAGAGAGAGAAATTCAAAAAATAATAAGAAAAATTGCACAAGAGGAAAGAAACAAAGGAAACGAAGTCAAAATAGGAGCAAGGAAAATGATGATAAATGGTGTTGAATATAAGTGGAATAGCAAGGAAGATAAAATGGAAATAACAAACTCAAAAAACTAGAAAACGGCTATGATAGTAAAAATACGAAGACGAACAACGCAAGGAACAAGGACATGAATACCGGTAACATTGTCATAGGAAAGGGTGATTTAAAGATAAAAAATACAAAAAAAGACAATAGAAACACATATCCAAAAGATCACTTAATGGTAGGAACGTGGAACGTAAGGGGTACTTTTGAGGAAGGAAAACTGAAACACTTAACTAAAGAAATTGAAAAGTTTAAATTTGACGTAGTGGCACTACAAGAAACAAAGCAACTGGGTCAGGAAATGCTGGAAATTGAAAATAGCTTATTTTTTAATAGTGGAGGCAGAAACAGAATATTAGGCACAGGATTTTTGGTAAATAAAGCGTTAAAAGCATCAATTGTAGAGTTTAAACCAATATCTGATCGTCTATGTTGTCTAAGAATAAGAGGAAAATATCAAAAAATCACATTCATTAACATTCACTCACCGTCAGAAGAAAAAGATATTGAAGTAAAAGAGGATTTCTACTGTGAAGTTAATAGGGTATTTGAAAGTATTCCAAGATATGACATTAAAGTAGTACTGGGGGACGCAAATGCAAAGATAGGAAAAGAAGAAATATATAGAACAACTATAGGAAAATTTAGCAAACACGAAGAAACTAATGAGAACGGGCAGTTTTTGATAGATTTTGCCAAAGAAAAAAATATGCTAATAATGAGTACATATTTCGAGAGAAAAAGCATCTACAAAGCAACATGGCGATCCCCAGATGGAAAAACATTAAATCAAATTGACCATGTACTAATAGAGAGAGAAGACCGAAAATGTATAAAGAACGTGCGAACATACAGAGGACCAGACGCTGACTCGGATCACTTCATGTTAGGAATTAAAATGGCTCAACTGATACCGGAAGAAAAAAATCGCAAAAGAAAAAATAAGAACACAAATAAACCAGTGCGGCTTGTAACGCAAGAAGAACAAGAAATGTATAGAAAAGGTATCGATAGAAAATTAAATGAAATACACCTAGAAGGGCACATAGACAAGGACTGGGACAAAATTCAGCAGATTATCAGTAACACAGCTAAAGAATGCAATAAATATATAACTAAAAAGAAAAAGGATTGGTTTGACGAAGAATGCCAGAAGGAAATTGAAGAAAGAAGTAAACTAAGGATGGATATGATCAAAAGTGATACGGAAGAAACAAGAAACAGATATGAAAAACAAAGAAAAATCGTAAAAAAAGTTTTGAGAATGAAAAAGAGAAAGTACATGGAAAATCAGCTGAAAGAAATAGAAGAAAATTACAAAAATAGAGAAATTAGAAATTTATACCAGGGAGTAAAAAATGAAAAAAGAGGATACCAACAAAAAACAATATTTTACAAAGATAAAGAGGGAAACGCCATTAGTGGAGAAAATGAAATAGCCGCTAGATGGAAAGAATACTTCGATGAATTGCTAAATGACGAAAACAGGATAGAACAGCAACAGCCTATAAGAACGGAGAAACATAGGAACCAAATAAATGAGACAGAAGAAACACCCCCTACCAGAAACGAGATAAAGGAAATAATAAAGAAATTAAAAAATAACAAGAGTCCAGGAAGTGATAATATAACTGCAGAGATGTTCAAATATGGAGGGAAAACGCTAGAGGAGCAAATGTTCAAATTAATAAAGGAGATTTGGATTAAAGAACAACTACCACAAGAATGGACAGATGCAATTATATGCCCACTTTATAAGAAAGGCGATAGGACAGATTGTCAAAATTACAGAGGGATATCACTATTGAATACTGCATACAAAATTCTTGCAGCGTGTATAAAGGACAAATTGGCAGGAGTGATAGAAAACATTGTCGGCGAGTACCAATGTGGCTTCAGACCTGGTAGAAGTACAATAGATCAGATATTTACGCTCAGAGAATTGCAAGCGGAAAGTTATCAACACAATCTGCCGACAAGGGTCCTCTTCATTGATTTCAAACAAGCGTACGATAGAATAAAACGGAACCAAATGAGCAAAGCACTAGAAGAATTGGGTATCAGTAGAAGACTTATAAGAATGATACAAATAACGTTGTCCAAGACTGAGAGCAGAGTTAAAATAAATAATATAATGTCGGAAAAATTTGAAGTCAGTGAAGGAGTAAGGCAAGGAGATCCCCTATCATCGATACTATTCAGCTTGTGTTTGGAGAAGGTCATACGAGATGCAAATGTCAACAGAGAGGGATTGTTATACCAAAGAAAGCACCAATGTCTAGCCTTTGCAGACGATGTAGTAATACTGGCTCGAAGCAAATGGGAGCTACAAGAAGTAGTAAAGAGGCTAGATAGAGAGGCAAAGAAAATAGGCTTAACCATCAACGAAAGTAAGACAAAATACATGGAATGGATAGATGACAGTGAACAAAAAGGAGGAAATCTAAAAATAGAAGTAGAGGGTGAAAAAGCATATATATTTGAAGCAGTGGAAAGATTTACATACCTGGGGTCGATGTTCACATGCAAACCAAATATTAGAGAGGAGCTCCAATCAAGAATAATGGCAGGAAACCGATGCGTATACTCCTTAAACAGGCTATTAAAAAGTAAACAGATATCTAGGAATGCCAAAATAAGGATTTACAAAACATTATACAATATTATACAACCAGTGGTAACCTACGCCAGTGAAGTGTGGACACTGAACAAAGGCGAAACAGGTATGCTCGAAATATGGGAAAGAAAGGTTTTGAGAAAGATATTTGGAGGCAAGATAGTAGACAATACATGGAAAAGAAGAACAAATAAAGAATTAGAAGATATGTACAAGAATCCTAGTATAGTGGGAGTAGTAAAGGCTCAGAGACTCAGGTGGCTAGGGCACATAGAAAGAATGACAAATTCTCGAGTACCAAAAATGATTCTGATGCATACAATGGGTACAAAAAAAAGAAGAGGAAGGCCGAGAAGTAGATGGAAGCAAGAAGTAGAGAAAGACCTAGAAACACTGGGAATAGAAAGATGGAAGGACAAGGCTAATAATAGGAAGAAATGGAAAACAATAACAGCTCAAGCCATGGGCCTACTAGGCTCGTAGTGCTAATATATATATATATATATATATATATATATATATATATATATATATATATATATATATTAAGTATCTATTTGTTGCTAAAACTAATTAACTTAATATATTTATTTATAATATTCACCTGCTGTTCCACCAGCGAACAATATTGTTGCTGATGAAGGGACCTGTCCTTCCTCGGTTCTCGCTAAATACTCATAAGATACAAAATAAGTTGTAAATGCTGGAACGTCTCTTATCAATGTTATACCATATCCTTGAAATACGCCAAGTAATTTCCGTTGTTTATAAATTCTTAATAAACAATCCAGTGGATTTTTACCCGCTTGCGTTCCTGCAACCTAAACAGAATTTAATTCCACAATTTGGTAAAACGTTATAAAATTACTGTTTTTTAATAAGAAAAGAATATTAGAAATGAATAATAGTTTCTTATGAAACAACTGCTTTAATACCTAATAAAATAAAAATTAATATGCCGATAAAGTGTAGAGGTTCAATTAGTTTTTAATAAATTCTGTTTATAACGCCTTATTTCTTGCCAACTTTTTTCTCTTTTCTTTAGGTTTGTCATTCTCACCCCATCCTCCGATTTTCTTTGAATATTTTTGTTTTTTCTAGTTTGTTAGCCAATCGTTTAGGTGGTCGATCGACCCTTTTTTTCTCCATTTTAATAACCCCTTTGTCTATCGCCCATCCGTCATTATAACTATGTGTCCTACCCATCTTAATTTTAGTCTGGACAATTTTCTAATTTTAATTTCGATGACATCAGTCACCCTGATTCTTCTCCTGAGCTCTTCGTTTTTATTTTGTCTCGCAGTGTCATTCCTAATATGGATCGCTCCATTCTTCTCTATGTGATTCTCAGTTTGGTAGCCAAGAATTTTGTTAATGTTCGTATGTCAACATGAGGACATGTTGAGATACAACTTTCGACGAAGTCGACATACAACATTTGACAACACAACTTTCTACGAAGACCTAGACAACATTTTGAAATTCATTAAAACGCATAAAACGCGATTATAATGGGAGACTTTACCGCAAAGGTCGGGGAAGAAAAAGTAGAAGAATGTACAGGAGGATATGGTCTGGGCAATATAAACGAAAGAGATGACAGGCTTATAGAATTTTGCCAAAACAATAATTTTGTTATAGCTAATACATTGTTCAAAATTCCAAAGAGAAGACTATACTCCTGGAAGTCCCCAGCAGATCAAGAAGAGAGAATTGTAAGAAACCAAATAGACTATGTATTAGTTACACAAAGATACAGGCACGCAACTATATCCGCAAAAACCTATCCAACTGCCGACATAGGATCAGACCACAACCCAGTAGTGACCAAAATTAGGCTTAAAATGAATAATAAAACGAAGAACAACAAATGCAAAAATCGATACAAGTAAATTACGGAACCCACTCTTACCCACACACGATACAAGGCAACATCTGGCAGATGAAATCATCAACGGATTAATAAATGTTAAAGAACAAATTCTGCAAAACGCTGAGACTAATAAAAAATGGTTATTAATAAAGAAAGAAATAGATAAAAGTCAAAAAGAAATTCCAATACCAACCAGATAGAAAAAGAAGCAATGGATGACGGAAGAAATTTTAGATTTAATGGAACAAAGACGTCAATATAAGAACAAAGATAATCAGATGTACAAAAAAGTAGATAAACAAATAAAATACAAAAATAAAAAGCAAAAGAACAATGGTTAAAAGAACAATGCGCAGAAATAGAAGAATACCAGAAAAGACATGATAGTTTTAACATATATTAAAAAAATAAAGAATTAACTCACAATATTAGAACAAGAAAACCGGGAATACTGAAAGATGTAAATGGGAAACTTGTGTTGAATACTAACGAAAAATTAAAGAGATAGACACAATACATCAATGAACTGTTCAAAGACAATTGAACAGAGCAGATGGAGAATGAAGATAGAAGTAGAAGGTATGGTTTTACAGATTAGGTATTAAAGAGGAAATTAAAATGGCATTAAAAACAGCAAAAATGGTAAAGCAGTAGGTTTATACCAAATCCCTATAGAAATCTTAAAATGTATAAATAATTAAACCTTAAATATTATAGTAGACTTATTTAACTCAGTATACAAAACAGAACACATACCGAAACAATGGTTACTCTCCACCTTTTTTGCTATCCCTAAAAATACAAACGCTAAATATTGCAGTGAATACAGAACAATATTACTAATAAGTCACATTCTCAAATTATTCCTGAAAATAATACATGGTCGTATAAATAAAAAACTGGAAGAAGGAATAGATATAGTCAGTTTGGGTTCAGAAAACGACTAAGAACTAGAGAAGCGTTATTTGCTTTTAATATGTTAGCTCAAAGATGCATGAATATGAATGTTGATGTGCATGTTTGTTACGTTGATTTTGAAAAAGCATTTGACAAAGTAAGACATGAAAAATTAGTTCAAATTCTAAAGACAAAAAAACATAGACCATAGAGACTTACGAATAATAACAAACCTCTACTAGAATCAAAGAGTACAAATCGTACTAGATAACGAACCCAATCCAGAAATTGAAATCAGGAGAGGAGTTAGGCAGGGATGTATTATGTCCCCATTACTATTTAATGTATATAGTGCAGCCATTTTTGAAGAAGCATTACTATTTCAAAGTGAAGGCATAACTAACCAATTATTGAAGGAATAATTAACCAGTTGCTAAACAAAACAAACAGTTTCTGTGAAAAATATAGACTAAAAATGAATATGAAAAAGACCAAATACATGATAATAACAAAGAAAACAAATATACCAACAAACATACATTTGGGAAATGTACCGATAGAAAGAGTTGATAAATACTAGGAACCCAGGAACCTACGAACCTGGATTTCAGACCATAATGATCAAACAACCGAAATAAAAGCTAGGATAGAAATAGCAAGATATGCGTTTGTAAAAAATGAAAACAATTTTCTGCAACAAAGATCTTAGATTAGAACTGAGAGTAAGAGCACTGAGATGCTGTTTTCGATACTGTAATAGGAACTTCAAAGCTAGACTAGACATTGAAGCAAGAACATATAAATAAGTTACAGTCCTTTGAAATGTGGTGTTACAGGAGGATGCTTAGAATAGCATGGACACAGAAGAAAACTAACACGCAAGTATTGCAAGAAATGGACAAATAATGCGAAATGATAAACACAATAAAGATAAGAAAGTTACAATCCGGGACACCTAATGAGAGGACAGCAATATGAACTGCTAAGGCTGATAATACAGAGAACGATACGAGGAGGAAGGATTTAAAGGACTGGTTTAAATGCAGTTCTATAGCACTTTTCAGAGCAGCTTGGGAGACGGCACTTAAAGAAGAAAAAACTTATTTTATAATAGAATACTTTTACGTTACTGACCTGCATCCTTGACTTAACTAGCTCCATAGGACTGGAAATAACACTAGTGAACAATCCCGCTGCTGCTCCAGCAACTGCATGCGACGACAAGCTCTCAGGATTTCTCGAATATTTTTGAACATTTGCATATACACCAAACACAACTGCATTTAAAGTTGCCACCCCCACAACTGGACTAGTTACTCCTCGATATATTCCCTTAATTCCTTCCTTTGCCATTAAGGATTTTATGCAGTGGACGGTTCCTCGATATTGAGGATTAACTGCACATTGTGTTTGTAAATTTACCTTGACTGTGTCGAGGGGATGGCCTACAAAAACACCAGCTACACCTACAACGCATAAAATTATTTAGTAGAAATACATATTATTTTACATCCAAGTTACATTACATAGTTACATTATATATATATATATATATAATATATATATATATATATATATATTATATGTATATATATATAGATATATATAGATATATATAGATATATATATATATATATATATATATATATATATATATAAATATATATATATAATGCGAATTTTAATAATGAATAAAGGAAATATAATATTTTGAAAATTACAGGGTTGTAAACAAAATCAGTTTACAACTAACTGACAGTTGTGTCAACTTGACAGTCACAGTTGGGCGAATTTTAATAATGAACAAATGAAATATTATATTTGAAAAATTACAGGGTTGTAAATAAAATCAGTTTACAACCAGTTTTCTTTTTTACTTTAGAAAGATAATTAGTATCTAGATAATTTGATAGTTTAGTCCACAAATCGGTCTACATATACAATAATTAAAACCAACTTACCCCAACACATCCGGCAACGAAATCAAGAGACATGACCAGGGCTTTCAATATGATACACGTCTACAAAAACAGTGAGCTTCCAAGGGACGGATGTAAATCTTTCTTTCAGCTGACAATCGTAAATTTTCTTAGTTATAATTTGACCAAATAAGGACTCCATGTACTATTTCAACAATACCTAAAATTACTAAGTTTTAGTACGTTTAAGTTTACCATAGTTTTTGTTAGTTACGAAATGCTTTGTTCATGTAAAATAAATGCAGATTTATTTAAAGCAATTCTAGATATTATTTCTAAATCAAGGATGTATAAGGTATCAGTAAATCATTGACTATATAAAGTTAATGAAAAGGGATATATTCTCACACGTAATATTTTAAAAAGTTCGTATTAATCTGTATATAATCTTATTATTAATCTATGTATATTCTGTGTAAGTAATATGATTTCCATAATCTGAACTAGACCCTAATCCTTTTCCTTTTTTTTCTTGATTAAAAATGAAAATATTTAATAAATAATTAATTAATATTATAATTTATTAAATAAATATAACAATAAATATAATTAATAATTAATTAAAAGACCGGACGACAGGGGAAATGTATAAATAAAAATGAAGTGAATTTAAATTAATATTATTAAAAAATATAATGCCTTCAAAGCTTATTTGAAATGTACACTGAGCTAGTTAAATTTATAATTACATAAAAGTGTACATGTACACTAAGTGTAAAATCATAAAATGATTTTAATCAGAAATCACTAGAATACAACAATCCGCCAGGCATTTACCGGAGTCAAATTAAAGAGCATTATCCACGTATTCTGTTCAACTAAGGAAAAGTGCCGTAAGTCCAAAAATATTGAATATTAAGTTATATATGGTTTTCTATATTTTTAAACAGGCAGAATTCAATTGGGCTACTTAAAATTGCCGTATCTCCAACAGTGATCGAGATATAAAATAATTCTTGAAGTTCTTGAAGATGTAGATTGTCACGTATGAAGGTGACAGTTGTATGGCAATGAATGAGATTGGATGTACAAATTGTGTGGGTGTGCAAGACTCGTAGAATTCCTAGACGCTCACTTCCTCATTCCAAACTACAATTCGGATTCAGGGCTAGACACTCCACACAAAATGCATTGGTTGAAGCAACAACCTTCATTTCACAATCCATTAACGAAAGGAAGCACGTCGTAGGCATTTTCCTCGATGTCTGGCACGCAGGCTTGATCGAGAAACTCCACCTTGCTGGACTGCCAAACACCTTTCGTTAAACTAATAAATTCCTATCTCTCCCATCGGGACGGTTCGGATCAAAATAGGAGTGCATCTCTCCACTCCATTCACTCCCCAATCAGGAGTGCCCCAAGGCTCAATACTTGCTCCAATATTATACACAGTATGCAATAGCGACATCCCCCGCCCACAGCAAGGATCAGAGTCTCTCCTCCTATTTGCTGATGATACAGCCATTCTTACCTCAGGCTCCTACAGGGAAGGAGAGCGACGGTCTGTATTCGAGAAATCGCAAGATTATCTTGACAGAGTCGTGAGGTGGTGCAACAAATGGAGGGTTACCTTAACCCTCCAAAACCCAAGCAATTCTATTCAGACCCCGATACGGACGCGGCCTTCAGGGCCGGGTGATACTTTTGGGAGAGGACCTTATTCTCAGGAACTCAGTTCTCTACTTGGGAGTTCGTTTTACGAGAACTCTCAATGGAAGGGCATGACGTCCAAGAATCCCTTGACAGGATGAGAAAAAGGCTCAACCTCCTAAAAGTGCTAGCCGTAAACTAGGAGGAACGTCCACTAACACTTTGTTGCACACCTACAAGACTTTTATCAGACCGATTATCGAATACAAGGCATGCGTTTACCTCTCCCTGGGGAACCACGAACTTAATGCCATCACCCGCCACAGAGCGTAGAATACTACGTTTCTGCATGAGAAAAGACTGGTTGTATCCATTGGCCCACATACACGCATTAGCTAACATCACGCCTATTAAGGACAGAATCCTAACCCTCAGTAGAGGAAGTATGTCCTAAGAACCATAGCTGGCTCGAACAACCGAGCAAAACAAACATTAAAGACACCTTGCACACATAGAGGGCAAATACTCACCAGGCATCCCGCCAAAAAAGTTCCATTCCCTCCAGCTAAAATTTTTACATAACGCTGGACCTGAACTTCCTGATGAGTATTTTGATATTTTAGAATCTTTCCCCATATACTATCGCAGATAAGCTGCGCACCAAAAACGCTGATAAAGAGCCGTTCCTACTGTATGGCTGGTAACCCTGAAGTACCTCACTGCATGCTAGGCAACCCCAATTCTTCTTGTGTGTTCACGATTCTTATCGATCACAAAATAAGCCACCTTCTTTCCCCCCCTTCTTCCTTAGCATTTCTCTGCTTCTTAGGCCGCGTTTCGATCAGTTGACGTCTTATCTCGTAACCACCACAACTCCGTCAAAAAAAAGGTGTTCCCCGTTCCTTGAAGAGGCGTAAGCCTAAACAAGGTTAAAACTAAAGGTTAAGTGCAATTCTTTCAACTTTTAAATAATAGTGTTAGTTCTATTGACATATAAGGCAAATTATTGCAGAGTCAAGTATATAAAATTATTAAAGTTAAACCAATTAAGGACGATTTAAGACACACAGAAAACACTTAAGGGGGACGAAACAAACATTAAATTTAAAAAACTAAGGACTTGAATGCACTACATCTCTTACTTGGAGACAATGAGTTTTTATGTTATCTATTAGATTTTAGAGGTAAATTTGACAAATGTAGGTTAAAGTGTGACAGTTATCTGTCACATTTTAACCTTTAATTTAACTTAATAATTTTATATACTTGACTTTGCAATCATTTGCAATATATGTCAATAGAACTTTATCAAAGAAATTTGATAATTACAAGTTGAAAGAATTACACACCCACACAATTTGTACATCTAATCTCATTCATTGCCATACAACTGTCACCTTCATAAAATAAAATCTCAATAAATAACACACATTTCATAAATATATCTCTTGAATAAATATAAATAACTTTTAAATAACTCAATGTTATACAACATCACTTTCATCTAACAAACATTCACATTACACCTATCTCTACTTCATTTTATAAAATCTATCTCCTTAAGAACTTCCCCGTTTATTGTCAAACAATTACAATAGACTTAAGTTCTCCATTCAACAATACAGGATAGTTTGAACAATGTTCTTTTAACCATCAATTAATAGAGTACCGGCATGTAAGTAATGTTTTATTTATTTGTTCATTTATTAGTTTATTACAATTTAATAGACTATTTTATACCAATTTATGGGTCTTACCTTGTCTGCTTAAACATTTTATTCATTTTAAAAAACTACAGACATAATATTGGCATAATTACTGTAATTTATATCATCTATAATATCATGTTTTCAGTCATAGTTCGGTGTAGAGCTTTCATTTTCACAAAAATGCTTAGAGAAGACTTTTATAGATCTGAAAAATCTCACTAAATCAATTTCAAAAAGAAAAACAAATACGGATAACCAACCAGTGGATTAGAGTCAAAAAAGATGAGCCATTTTCACTGTTCTATTAAAGAAACATTAAATGAAGATTTTTCCTTTTCACAAATTAATATTCGTTCGAAGCAAGCAGAAGGGAAGGCCAACATTGTTGAAAAATCTTCAACTGGATTGCCTGTACACAGCACCTCGACCAGTAATGCCAGCTAAAAAATGGGATATGTGTGATTTACTACCATACATTCCTCCAGTCCAATATTCTTATTTTAGAAATCTTATATCATCTGATGAGGTCAATGACGAAGCTGGACCACTTCCTGATGTAGAAGAAAACAATGACTAATAAACTAGTGAATTTATATTTGATTTTCTAATGTAAAAACAATAAACATATTTTGATTTCTTTACATTCTTTTTAAACTTAAACTCTTAAAGGAAAAGTGCTGTAAGTTATTTCACCCCTTAAAAACTACCCCTTAACATAGTTTTATTTTTTACAAAAAATGTTAATAGAGTTGAACATGTTCTTAGTAAAAAAAAAAATATCACAAACATGTTTATAAATAATGTTCCACAGATTTAATTACAATGTTTCTATAGTTTATTTTTATGAACGAGAGAGTAATTAGCATAATTTTAACTGGTACCTCCGACCACTCCATGGGCGTGCTCAAGATTAATTGAAAAATTACTTTGAATAATTGTAAAAAATAAATGAATTATTTCAGTGTTATAAAGTGTTATGTGTATGTAAACAAAAGTGACCTCTTTTATCACACACTATATTAGAACTGACTGGCCTACATTAAAAAGAGTTTTTAAAACCGTCTAACGTATGTTAAATAGATGAATAAAAATATTAATATAAAACTTACAGCTACTTGTTACAAATCCAAATCAGATTCAGAAGATGAACTTTCAGAACCAAGATTTATAATAACTGGCTCGATCATTTTATCAGTACTATTGTCCAGCTTCCACATTTTTTCCTCTCCTCTAATAGTGTGATTTACTGCCTTTTCCCAGTTTTCAGGTTTTACATTATTTACGGCCTCCAAAAACAACTGTTTAACATCATGAATTTTAAAAGTGGTATTTTTTCTTGAAACTTCACTCTTTATCTGTGCCCATACCAGTTCAATTGGGTTTAATTCACAATGATATGGTGGGGATCTAAGTACTGTCATTCCACGATTTTTGGCAATTTCATCAATTTCGTATTTTTTAAATTTTTTTTTATGAAGGGCACACAACGAATAAAGTTCCTTTCTTATAGATCCGGGATGGTACGTAATATTTTTTGAACTCAGCCAATTCTGCAAGTCTTTTTTTAACCACTTGGTTGTGGGCAGTCCTTCTATAAGTCTGGATCTAAGATCTACCATTTGTTCGAACAATTCTTGAAAGACATCAGCGTTCATGTCTTCATGGTAGTCACCGGTACGAGTTGATTCAAAAGTTAATAAACCACCCTCAACAAAA